CCCATTTCAAGATCTAAACTTAAGAAGTTATTGTTGACTTTATATCCCAAGAAAAATTATATTATTCATTATCGGAATTTAAAAATGTATACAAAATTTGGTATGAAAATAAAATGTGTACATCGTGTTATGAAATTCAAACAATCTGCGTGGTTAAAGGAATATATAGATTTAAATACAAAACTTAGGCAGCAAGCAAAGAACGATTTTGAAAAAGATTTTTTTAAATTAATGATTAATGCTATTTATGGTAAATGCATGGAAAATGTAAGAAAACATCGCGATATTCGATTGGTTAGTAAATGGGAGGGAAGATGGGGAGTTCGTTCTCTTATATCTAAACCAAATTTTCACAGTTCTGTTGTATTTGATGATGATTCAGCAATAATCGAAATGAGTAAACTAGAAATATTTTTGAATAAACCAATTTATGTTGGTTTTTGCATTTTAGATATTTCTAAAACTTTTCTCTATGAATTTCATTATGACTATATTAAGGAAACATTTAAAAATAATGCTAAGTTACTTTACACCGACACTGACAGCCTAATTTATGAATTTCACGTAGACGATATATACAAATATATTAAGAAAGATTCACATCGATTTGATACTTCTGACTATGATTTATATAATATTTATGGTATAGAACTCAAAAATAAGAAAGTGCCAGGTTTAATGAAAGATGAAAATAACGGTAAGATTATGCTAGAATTTGTGGGTCTCAGATCTAAAATGTACGCATATAGAATTGCAAGTGACGATTTCAATAAAAAATTAGTTAAAAAATCCAAAGGTAGTACAAAAGCATCACTTAAAACAATAACGTTTGAAAATTACAAAGAATGTTTATTTAATAATCGAAGTTACGAAAAATCACAAAGACTCATCAAGTCCAAACATCATACTGTTTACACAGTAAAACAAGAAAAAGTAGTTCTCAGCCCCAATGATGATAAAAGGATTGTCACAAGATTTGCAACGGATACGAAACCTTGGGGATATCATATTTCGCACGTAAGTTAAAAAAAGTGGGGATTGTCATATATAAGCAATTAAATTTCACAGATGATTTATTCGATGTTGGCTATTTCATTATTACAACAATGTCTGACTTGAGACAATTTGTTGATTTACAAGCATTTTGTGCATCCGAAAGTGTGTACAAAACATATCTTAAAGCCGCTGCGAGTGATCGAACGAAATTAAATTTATTCCTTCATCTCATCGATAAAAAAGATTTTATTGTACCGGACGAAGTGTTTAAATGGATTGCCGAAAGTGAAAGTGATTTTTATACACTTGACATTTGTATTCTGCTACAAAGAAAGCAATGTGTCGATGGTTACATTGATGCATTCCTACATGTATGCGAAAGAGACCAAATTGAAAATTTAAATTATGCTGCTTTGGAGTTTTTGATGACCACCAACTATTTGGACAATACTCTAACGTATAAATGTTTTATTTATAAATTATTGAGTGATAATCGCTGGCAGAATCTTGGAGATATATTCTATCCTGTTGAGAATATCCGGAAAAATTATCGAAGGATCGACCAGTGCGTGGATGAATTTATGTGTCGGGCTGCGTATTTGGCAAACCATAAAGCGCTCAGTACTTTCTATGAGTCTTTAGCAATAATAAATTACGATTCTTTCGCATTTCAACCTTCTCAAAATCAGGAGCATCGAAGAATTTTCAACTGGATCAAAAAGAACATTGTCAAAGGAGAAGCCAATCCTGAAATATCATTAGGATGGACTGAGGGACCTGATTCAACAAAATGGCCCTCGATTAAGTTAGATGATTATAAGAAAACTTTACATGTAATTTCTGGTAACCATGAATAAAACACACACACACACAGAAATGGGTTATATGTAGTTTTATTTACCCTCAAACATAATAATACAATAACAGATGAAATTATTTACAACACTCTGACGACATCTTGTGCAGGGATGTATTTTACCATTCGGTCGTGAAGAATAAGACAGTAGGCTGTAGTATCTGCAGGAATACCAGATATCGTCTCAAACCACATAAAAGTGATTGTAACGGGGCCTCTCTTCAAAAAGCAAGGGTGGGGATTAATATGGTGTATAAATTAACGATCACACACACACACACACACACACACACACACACAAACGAATTGATAAGTATCTTGCAAGTACATAAGATAATACTTAACAGCAGAAATGGGTAAGGTTATATATTTTTGTTGTAGTATGTGAAGTTCTAAAAACTTTTTTTTTCTGTATAGAAAAATTTATCATTTGTCCTTATAATGCCAGCCACAGGCTGTTAGAGAAGAGGCTGAGAAAACATATTTTCAACTGTCATCGGGATGTCTGGGAGAGGGAGAGAAAACTCTGGGAGGCTGAACTTCCCCTATGGATATTTACTTCGATAGGAGCACTTATTTTTGTAATCGTATTTTGTGTGTTACTTTATTTAGTATTAATTTGTTTCAGTTATTTTAGCAAACAGAATACTCAAACAAATGTATAATTCAATAAAACAATTAGCTAGTTTTGATTGTTTTATTTAATATCCTTCAACATGTTAATCTAAGAGCATCAACGCTACAATTCAATACAATAATAATGAGTTATTTCATATGTTTCAAAGTATTTGTCCAGCAGCACGATATGAGTCATCATGATCCACCACCACAGTATAGGCTGACATAGCCAAACTGTTTGGCTCGAATTGTAACTTCTTTTCCTTTAGTCTTTCCTTATATTTGGTGATGCGATCTTTTTTTTCTACCTTGTTAAAATTCACGTCTGTTAATTTCCATTCTACCAGAACAGGACTTCCTCTTCTTGGAAAGTGTATTGCCACTTTACAAACGTTTAAGTCAAACGATTTAAGGATACTTAAGATTCTGGCTTCCAATGATAATTGAGGACGAGATTCAATAAAAATTATATTAAATATAAATGATTCAAAATCCAAATAACAGCAGGGCCATTTGGATTGATAGAGATAGCTTGAGATGCGACTGCCGGCGCAATTATCTCTCATCCACTCTTGTATATTTTCATTAATTTCGACGTAAATATCAATGTCTGTATAAGAAGACGTCCGGTCCAAGAGGAATGCGCCACATCCACCAGCCATGAAAGTTCTGCACGATGAAAATTTTTGACGTAACAAACATTCGACTCCGTGGATGATACTGCGTTTTTCTTTATTCAATGAATTTATATCAAGATGTCGAGAAATAAAACTTTTGTTTTTTAATGAGAACATGTCTAATGTGTAAACTCAAGTCACATCCTTATAGAAACGCACCTTCTTATATACACGAAAAAAAAAAAAATGCAACTTTTAGTTGAAAACGTGATCGTAAAAAATAAATTCAAGTCAGCGAAAAATGAAACATGAGGAAAGCAACTGAATCATCAACTTTAGAGTTCTCAAGAAAATCTATACTGTAATAAAAATGGGGGGAAAATGTAGGGGTGGGGATTAATATAGTGTATAAATTAAAGATCACACACAAGAAGAGATTAATAAGTATCCTGCAAGTACATAACATAATAATTAATTAACGACAGAAATGGGTAAGCTTATATATATTTTTTTTTTGTAGTATTTAAAGTTCTAAAAAAATTTGTTTTTCTGCATAGAGAAATTTGTTATCTGCCCTTATGATGCCAGCCACAGGCTTTTAGAGAATAGGTTGAGGAAGCATATTTTCAAATGCCACCGAGATGCCTGGGAAAGGGAGCGAAAACTCTGGGAGACTGCACTTCCCAGACCATCTACACCACCCCTACCACCATCAAAGTGGTTCAACGAACCACCGACAACACCACCGCAAGTGGAAAACTGGGACAACGAATTCTCAGGGACCTATGTCCCAAAGTTAGATAGGTCCCTGTTTTTAGACAGAACAGCCTTAAACGCCTACCATGCGACATTTAACAAATAAATAAGAAAACAATAATTTGTTATTTCTATCGCTATTACCCTACCACCATCATTTACCACCTCTAAAAACTTCTTCCCTACGAGTATCAACGTGTACAAGAAGATAAGTCTAAGATGTTTCTACCTAGCAAAGTGTGATAATACTATTAAGTGTGCTTGTTGAAAACAATTTGTATCTCTACAACACTTCAAATATAAGTCTGCTGTATATTCAGACGTACGAAAAAGAATGTTGGGAAAAAATGACACCGATCAATCTAATCGAAGCCAGTTATCATCATCTTTTCTATGCGAAAAATATAACAATGCAGAATCATTTGACGTACAAGATAAAAACCGAAGAAGAAAATTACCAATTTTCCAATTGGTTAATAATAGAAAATACTAAGAGCAGTCGCAGTTCAAAGGAAGTCATTGATTTTTGTTTAAGAAACGATCGTGTATGGTTTGCTTCAATTTTTGTCATATTCATGATAATGATTGTAATAGTAGGACATTGGGACCTACTTTTATAGAAACGCACCTTCTTATAGACACAAAAAACAAAAAAAAAAAATGCTGATTTGTGTTTCTTTCGAGAGCATCGATGGAGACAAACCTCGAAGCGCATAAAATTGCTGAATTGCATTTCTCACGGAAATAGTTTTTTGATGACCTTGAACTCTTAATTTCCGAGGAGAGCACGTGTTTACAGAATTGCTGAATTGCATTTCTCACGGAAATAGGTTTTTTCATAACCTTGAAGACTTAATTTCCGAGAAGAGCACGTCTTCAAGAAAATGCAACAAATTGCTGATTTGTATGTTTCACGAAAAGTGCCGAATTGCATTTCTCACGGAAATAGTTTTTTCATGACCTTGAAATATATCAATCTTCTAAATGTCCATATATGGACATAATAAATTGCTGATCTGGCATTTCACCCTACTACCTAATTTATTTTTTCCTTATTCTGCATTATTTTTCCTATATATTTTCTATTGGGACTCATAAGCGTCATTATTAGTTCTTGTGTGTTCAGTGACTAAAAGCAGTGACTAAAAGCGATCAAGATGAAATACTCACTAAGTTTAAAGAAGCCCAAAATTAACATTTTGCAAGATATCGTAATTCAGGTAGGTCTTTTTATTTTCATCTGTTTTTCATATATATATTTTCAATATTATTGCAATGTTTTTTTCTTTTTTAAACAATAATTAAGGAATGTTTATTTATTTTGTAGCCCCCCTTGCTCGCTGCAGCAGCACCAGCACCACCACCAGCACCACAACCATCACCACCACCGTTGAGGTTGATAGATGATCTGTCGGAGGAGGACCTCAAAAAGCTCCGAAAACTACGTTCGCCTGAAGCATCAGCCTCAACCTCCAGCCAAGAAGAACGGCAACTGTCTCCGCTGCCCCTCCATCTTAGTCCAGGTATTTTCGATATTGAGCGACCAGGAAAATGCATGGACTTATTGAGAAGTATATGCGAAGAGATGGAGTCGGAGGAGCAACAGGTAACGGAGGCGCCCGCTGAAGCTACTCCAGAACAGGAAAGGACTCCAGAACAGGAAAGGTCCAGCTCTCCGGCTGCGATACCCTCCTCCCCTGCTGCTGCTGGTGGTGCTGCCCCTCGTGCTGCGACATCATCCTCCCCTGCTGCTGCTGGTGCTGCCCGTCGTGCTACGACATACTCCTCCCCTGCTGCCTCTGGTGCTGTCCTTCGTGCTGTGACATCCTCCTCCCCTGCTGCCCATCATGCTGCGACATCCTCCTCCCCTGCTGGGTCATCAGTGACCGATGACGACTCAGCAGATGAGTTTGAGGGTGTCAAAAGTGCTGGTGCACTTTTGGCCGGGTTTAGGGCCCAATTAAGGGAGGTCGAAAGACAAAGTGTGGTGCGGCAGAAGGAGCTCATAACCAGGAGGAAAAAGCATGTGAAAACCATTAAACAGTTAACGAAGGATATTGCACGATTACAAAGACAGCTAGTGGAGGAGCAAAGGGGGTGCAGTGACGTTGAAAAGGAAATTAAGAAACTGGGGGAGAACAGTGTAAATGTTAGGGACCTGTACTCAAAAATGAAGTGTATTTAAATTTATAATAGTAGTTGTAGTAGTAGTTTTTGTAGTAGTGGTGGTAGTGGTAGGGAATCGTCGTAGGGGTAATTATAGGATAAGCATTAATTAATAAATTAATAATGTACATATATACATATAATATTTTTTGTAAGTATTGTAGTGTTAGAAGGGTTAGTAGTTGTAGTAGTAGTGGTTATACCTGAATAAATTACACGAGTATCTTATTTCGCTTTTTTTTTTTTTTTTTTTTTTTTTTTTTTAAGTGTTGCATGTTGGGCTTATTCGAATCCTTTTTCGATGGTCTTTTTTTCGACCTGAAAAAATTTTTACGTAGCGACCTTGAAAAAACTAAAAATGGCTCCTGTATCTAGGTCGATGTGGACAGAATCGATTTTTTTGAGCAAACTTATGCGTTCGTTCCAGAAGAAGGTTTTGATGTATACAACCGATATTCTATCTCTTACCATTTGGACACTAGAAACTTTTGCCCTTTTCTCCCTTGTTTTCAACTTTTTTCAAAATTTTTTTTCTTCAACATATGCCTTAATTTTTTTAGCTTTTCCCCGTTCCCCTGTGCCGACATGCTACCTCTTACCGCTTACGAACTATGACGTTTTTTCGTTATTACTACTAAACGCTAGCGAAAAATATTTATTTTGCTAAGTGGACCTATAGACTGTTCACTCAGAAATATTTTGATGCAAAAATATTTTTTTTAAGTTTTGCCGTTTCGACGCTACAAACTTTTGCCCTTTTCACCGCCATGTTGCAAGTTAGCTGAAAAACGTCGAAGGGGATGTATACGACACGTATTTTTGGATCTTTTTTGTCCTATACACGAACCTTCTATCTCTTACCGTTTTCGAGTAACAAAGTTTTTTTCTATTTGAACGGTAAACACACCTATGACTCATATTTATTTTTGGTTACGGTAAGCTAGTAGTTCATGAGGATGCATTTTTTTATGGAAAAACAAACTTTTCAAAATTTCGATAAATTTTTTTGGAGATTTTTTATTTTCAATTTTTCTTTATATCCTTTGGGTTTTTTTAACTTTTTTTTTCATCAAAACTTCTAATTTGCTTCCCTACTGCTCAAGGAAATCTTTTTTTCTAATTCTGACAACCTTTTTTGACGAACATTTTTTGATCCCAAACTCAAATTTTCACATATTTAATTACATGGACCTATTGACTATTCATCCGAAAATATTTTGACACAAAAAACAAATTTTTAACTAATTCCGTTTGGTCACCACAAACTTTTGCCCTTTTCTCCGAAATGCTAAACTCAAACTAAAAACCGTCGACACAGGTGCATGTGTTTCGTATTTTAGGAACTTTTTTGTCCTTTGCACGAACCTCATATCTCTTACCGTCTTCGAGTAAAACATTTTTTTTTTATATTTAAACAATTATTGAACCTCTAACCCACATTTATTTTTACACAAATGTGTCATTAGTTTATAGGGATGCATTTTTATTTTTTTAACAAACTTTCTGCCCTTTGGCACCCTCAAGCGATAATTCTTTTTTTTTAATATTTCCGAATACGTCCCTGTCTATTGAAGATAAGAGCGTCCAGTTCCGTAAGAATTTGCTGAAACAGCATCGCGTTATTTAATTCTGTGTTGTAATAATGACGGGCGGCGTGTTTCGGTTTATGAATTTTACCGTGAAAGATTTGGGAAAAAGGTGGTTTTGTTGCACTAAATAGTGGCTTCTGTGATGTGTGCGTGTATATGAATGTTTTCGAGGGACAACGGATAATTTAATTGCCTGTTTTCAATGTCGTAAGCAAACATTTTTTAATTTTAAACAACACACATTTGATATTTTATTCTAATAATAACGGACGTGTTTTGCATAATTATTTTTACGTTGAACTGATTGTAACGTACGAGATTTCGAGTGCAAAGAAACTTAAATCGGCGGAAAGTTGCTGATGAACATTTATTTAAATAACAGGAATTTTATCGGAACAAACACGGCTTTTATTCGTTGCGGTTATTCGCAATTAAATAATTTTATATGAGACTGGGGAAAATAATACACCAAACGAAATAAACAATATTTATTATAATTTCAATTACAACTTAAGATTACACAAACAAGTTCGTACTTTATACATTTTAAGCAACTAATAAGTTTTAAATTTAAATCTAATTTAGGACGCAGTGGTTTAACCGCAATGTGCACAGTTATTTAACTGATTTTCTTTGCTGAATAATTTTCAATTCTGAATCCAATTTTTCGATTGTTTCTCTAAATTTTCGTTTCTTCTCCATCATTTTTTCGATTAAGGGCTTTATTTGCAATTCGAAACGTTCCACATTCATTTGAAATCTTTTAACATCGTATAACCAAGTATTAATTCGGCTTTCTTTATCATTTATTAAGAAAATAACCGGAACTTTGTCGAAACAAACACGTCTGTTATTCATGACGGTTTGCAATCAAATATTTTTTACATGAGACTGGGGAAAATAATACACCGAACGAATTAAATAATATTTATTATAATTTCTATTACAGCTTAAGATTGTTCAATTTAGTCCTTATTTCATACATTTTAATTGCTTCTTTTAAATAACTAATTCGTTTTAAGTGTAATTCTAATCTACGATGAAGCAGTCTAACTGCACTTGATTTGTTTTCCACATGAACCAATGCCTTCTTCATTCTTCGATAAATTCGATATTGATGGTTCGACCGATCGGACCTCTATTTACCAAGTACAATTTCAAGCCGTTCACGATCTTCTGGTTCAGATCGCTGATCACTGAGTCGGTGAATTTTTCGGTAAATCTCTGTGGAAGTATCGTTCTAGACTCTTCAAGTTCCACAAATATCTTGTCACCGTACTTTGTAGACAGTTTACTAAAATTTTTTGTTAAAAATTTTTTATTTTCTTCTAAAGTTTTCGCACTCACAAAAGCTTGCAAGTGAGACTCTTTATTCAAGGTAGAAATGAAAGATGACATTTCAACTTTACAAAGTGTTAAATAATTGAATTCAAAAAACTAATTAATTCCTACAGACGAATCCATCGACTTTTATACAAGTATAAAACGGAAGTGGGGATGCGAGATTGCGTCCGAGATCCCTCCCCGACCTAAACGAAAAGAGGGGATAGATCTCGAGACGAACGAGGGCAATAAACGACCAAGGTCGTGCAACGACTAGGTCAATGATCGCCCGATGAAAAGTAATGGGGGAGCTGGACCAGCTGGCAAGGACAGCCACGTGCAACGACAAGGTCGACAACAAATGAAAGGTCAATGACCGCTCGATGAAAAGTAATGGGGGAGCTGGACCAGTTTGACCTCATTTGACCTGGTCTAGAACCCCCACTATATAACTACTCTACGGGCTCGGAAAGTGCAACGAAACCATCAAATTTTAGCTAGAAACTGTATTTTTGTCGATTTTTATTGAATTTGAACTATATTTCAACGTTTTTTGATGGTTCTGAGCCACCAAACACACTTAAAGCATGCAGAATCGACTCAGAATAGGAAAAGGAGACGTTTAGGTCAATTTTATGCATTCTGGCGTTCGTAGATACAAGAAAACTGTTAAAATTCTTCAGAAACGTCACTTTTGAAGTGTTTTCTTGTACTTTTAAGCCACTCAGATACCCTACGGGCTCGGAAAGTGCAACGAAACCATCAAATTTTAGCTAGGAACTGTATTTTTGTCGATTTTTATTGAATTTGAACTATATTTCAACGTTTTTTGATGGTTCTGAGCCACCAAACACACTTAAAGCATGCAGAATCGACTCAGAATAGGAAAAGGAGACGTTTAGGTCAATTTTATGCATTCTGGCGTTCGTAGATACAAGAAAACTGTTAAAATTCTTCAGAAACGTCATTTTTGAAGTGTTTTCTTGTACTTTTAAGCCACGCAGATACCCTACGGGCTCGGAAAGTGCAACGAAACCATCAAATTTTAGCTAGAAACTGTATTTTTGTCGATTTTTATTGAATTTGAACTATATTTCAACGTTTTTTGATGGTTCTGAGCCACCAAACACACTTAAAGCATGCAGAATCGACTCAGAATAGGAAAAGGAGACGTTTAGGTCAATTTTATGCATTCTGGCGTTTGTAGATACAAGAAAACTGTTAAAATTCTTCAGAAACGTCACTTTTGAAGTGTTTTCTTGTACTTTTAAGCCACTCAGATACCCTACGGGCTCGGAAAGTGCAACGAAACCATCAAATTTTAGCTAGAAACTGAATTTTTGTCGATTTTTATTGAATTTGAACTATATTTCAACGTTTTTTGATGGTTCTGAGCCACCAAACACACTTAAAGCATGCAGAATCGACTCAGAATAGGAAAAGGAGACGTTTAGGTCAATTTTATGCATTCTGTCGTTCGTAGATACAAGAAGACTGTTAAAATTCTTCAGAAACGTCACTTTTGAAGAGTTTTCTTGTACTTTTAAGCCACTCAGATACCCTACGGCTCGGAAAGTGCAACGAAACCATCAAATTTTAGCTAGAAACTGTATTTTTGTCGATTTTTATTGAATTTGAACTATATTTCAACGTTTTTTGATGGTTCTGAGCCACCAAACATACTTAAAGCATGCAGAATCGACTCAGAATAGGAAAAGGAGACGTTTAGGTCAATTTTATGCATTCTGGCGTTCGTAGATACAAGAAAACTGTTAAAATTCTTCAGAAACGTCACTTTTGAAGTGTTTTCTTGTACTTTTAAGCCACTCAGATACCCTACGGGCTCGGAAAGTGCAAGGAAACCATCAAATTTTAGCTAGAAACTGTATTTTTGTCGATTTTTATTGAATTTGAACTATATTTCAACGTTTTTTGATGGTTCTGAGCCACCAAACACACTTAAAGCATGCAGAATCGACTCAGAATAGGAAAAGGAGACGTTTAGGTCAATTTTATGCATTCTGGCGTTCGTAGATACAAGAAAACTGTTAAAATTCTTCAGAAACGTCACTTTTGAAGTGTTTTCTTGTACTTTTAAGCCACTCAG